TTCACCGCATCTAAAACATCTCACCGGAGTAGGAACTCCGCCCCCACTTGGCTTCTTGCCGAAACCAGCTTTCTGCTTCCCTTTCTCTGTAGGAGTCACATACGGCTTTCCTCTAAATTGACCTTTTCCTTTCTTTTCACTTAAACTCTTGTAGTGGCTAGACCGAGCCCTATTATCTTCATCATAAATTCTGCTTTTGTTCACCAGTTCCGAAAATCGCCTAATCTCCTGATAACCAACAACTTGCTTAATTTTCGGCCTCAAACCATTCACAAACTTGAGACACTTGGATCTCTCAACATTAACAGTATTATAATGAGGACACAACTTAATCAAATCCTCAAATCTCGCCGCATACTCGGCCACAGTTGAGTTACCCTGCTTCAACTCAAGAAACTCAATTTCCTTCTTCCCACGCACATCTTCTGGAAAATACTTCTCCAGAAATGTTTCCCTAAAAAGATCCCAAGTAATCACCATCTCATTCTCTTCAAACCTTTGGCGAGTATTATCCCACCAATCCTCAGCTTCCTCTTCGAGCATATGAGTGCCAAACTGCACCCTCTACGCATTCGAACAATTCATAACCCGAAAGATCTTCTCTATAGCTTTCAACCAAACTTGTGCTTTGTCAGGCTCATGGGTTCCCTTGAAAACTGGTGGATCATTCCTTTGAAACCTTCCCAAAGCACGGAACTCATCATCAGCATGGTTTCCAACATTCACACCAGCTTGAGGATTCTGCCCAATCGCTCCAGCCAACCTCATCAAAGCCTCCGTAACTGCTTCGTCATTCCTACCTGCAACCATCGTTCTTGATTCCCACAACAAACTTTATTAGAACAACCATATTGATAGTGCTACACATACGTACCAAATGCAAATGGGGAATAAACACATTAACAACTTGGTCAACAGACCGACCTGCTCTGATACCACTTAATGTAACACCCCCTTCTATACCCCCAAATAAACAATTAAATCACATAAGCACATAATAAATTTCATCAGAGTAAATTAAAATATGGTATAAAGGAAGTAAGCCACATCATTCACCAAAATAACATACAACACCTGCCCAATAAAAGACATGTAACAGTAGGGTAGTTCAACAGAGGAACTTAGTCCTACACCCACATCTTCTATATCTAGAATTTAAAACGGAAGATTAAAACATTGAATTACTTAAGACATGTTATCATTTAGATACATAATTCAATTTGGTTCACAATATCATTCATGTTTACAAAATATTACCATCAGATACATACACAAATGTATCCCAAAAGAATACTATACAATCCTAACTACCCGGTGCTACATATCAGAGCATAACCGACCAAAAGGATGAAGCTAAACTTCACAAAAGACCTCCAGCAACCTAATCTGCAATGCCTCATAGAGCATTATGAAACAACAGAAGGGTGAGAAATATTATCATAATAGTCAAAGCATATAATTATATATACATTTCACATTTCTCACCACAATTCATTCCAATCATTATATACATCACAACATAAGTGTAACAAACATGGATAATCACCAAACACGTTTCATCATGCATACATCCATAATTCTCAATTCAATACTTCACATAAAGGTAAACTTTCATACAACAATACACATTAATCATGTGACTCAATGCAACTCAATGCAACTCATGCCATGTGGTACCAACACTTGTTATCATTTTTTCGGTTTTTACACTTAAACTGGGTCCACCCTTCTAGACCGATAACAACAAAAGCCTGTTCCCTAAGCTTTCAAACCCACCCTTCTAGGTTTGGGACAAGTCACTAGTCTCCACGAAACTATCAAACATTGTCTCTTGACTAAATGATGCTTATGCAATCAACCACCAAATGCACTTAAGACCATCTCACATCTTAATCTCATGCATTCACATAATTCATCACACAAGAATTATAACATGATTGCACACACAACATATTCATATATCATCAATACATTTATCAAGCAATGCACACATATTCACAATATGTTCCCATGCATTCCATTCCTACAATCTCATACAAACAATATGTATTCATAACCAATTCCACAATCTAGGATTCACGCCATACGGCTACCCGCAACATATTTTTCACAATATACAATTACTCATTTCCACCAAGGATTGAACATAACCGAACAAAGAAATCAACATGGAATGGAATCACAAGAAAACAAAATGTTGTCACGCTCGCTGGTTTGCTCGCCTAGCGAGTCTCTAGCGAATGCTCGCTATCTACTCGCCTAGCGAACCAGCTCGCGAAGGCAAACAGAAGCTACTGACTTCGCTCGCCACCTACATCGCTGCAGTGAGTCCCTAACGAATCCTTCGCCACCACACTCGCTACCAGCGAACCAGATCAAAGGCATTATGCCCAAGTCTAGGACATCTCGCTAACTATTCGCTCAGCGAGTTGCTAGCGAATGTTCGCGACCTGTTCGCCTAGCGAAGGTGCTAGCGAATTTCTGCGAACTCAGAAAATTCCCACTGTCATCAAGCCCTCAACTCTTCACAAAATCTACCGATTCTCACCAAACCAGTTCCATAGTCTTAGTATAACCTCTCTCGACTAAATTATGTCACTTATTTTCAGTTTCTATCGATTAAATCCAATTTGCCTTTAAATGGAAGTTGTAGAAAAACAAACAACAATCTAACCCAAGCATACACAATCATGTACATTGATATAATAACAACATTTCACACCCTTACCTCGATTAATCGATGCTTGAGAGTTGTTCTTGAGCTTTTCCAACTTTTTCTTCTTCTCCTTCTCTTTTCTCCTCTTTCTCCTTCTTTCTCTATTTTTTTTCTCTTATATTTCTATCTTTTTCCTTTCTCTCCACTTTTCCTTTATAAGTCTTTCCCTTCTAATTCTCTCCAACATCTATTAATTCATTTAATTAATCATACATTACTCAAACAATCCTCTTAAACCATTTAATTAATGTAAATAACTAATTAGTAAAAATTGGGCTGTTACAGCCATGAGTGACGGCGGGAGGAGAATGTCCCCAAAAATCTTGTGTAGTGAGAACATAATATCTCTCTCCTTAGACTTTTTTAATGGTCTAAATTGGGAAAGTGTATCTTTACGTCTCACGAATGTTGTGTCTAAAAAGTTGCTCAATAAAACAATTAAAGAAATCATTATCGCTATTTTTTAAAACCGATCTGAGAAAAAAATTAAAATTATAGTTTCTCACTTTTTCTTTTTTGAACCATCTTTTCTAAAAACTCCTTAATTTTAATAATAAAATTTATTTTTCATTAAAAATATTAAGAATAATTATAATACTTTTTTTTAATGAGTGGGGTATCTAACAAGATATTTGTTAATTGGGATAAGTGGATGTGAGTTGTTGGTGCCTTGGCAGCAACATTTATATTTATTTTCTCATAATATATATACTAATATAAATAAGTAGTTGTTACTTATAAATCAACGATGAATAAAAAAAATTATTAAACTTTTTATGAATTATGACAATCTTAGAATTGTTCACATAATTTATTTTCTCTTTGGAAATATAAACTTTTAATTAAAATAACGTTTTTTATTATAAAAATTAATAATTCTAATTACTTAATTTAGAGTACAAAAAGATGAACCGTTTCCATTTTAATAAAATATAAAATTTTATAATGAAAAAAGGAAAGAGATATACAATACTTTATAATATTTTCTATATATTTAGTCTAGCTCTTTTGCATTTTAAATTTAATAAATTTAGATATAAAGTTAATATTGAATCAACGAGATAACTCCTTCGCTGCAATTCTATACTATTTCCCTCTTATAAATACCACTAGTGTGCATTCTCATATCATGTATATTATAATTTATACACATTCCTTTCACCTATATTACACATTTTTGCCTGGTTAGTTCTTATCCATTCATTTGTTAATTATTATTTCTAATATTTTCTGTATTTTTAATAGTTAATGTATTTTATTGATTTTACTATTATCTATAGAGAATAAGTAGTTATTTTCTCAAAGATCTATGGTTCACTATGTGATGAGTCCATTGTCTTTCTTGAAAATAATTCAGATATATATTAAGGTTTATGGTTAGTGTATTGTAGAGACTAGTGCTTTGTCATTTTCCCCTTCTATTATGATTCCTCGACTCTTATCAAATAACAAAACATGTAACTTTATACTATTGCTTTGCATTTTGTCTATTTTGTATTTCTTAATTTCTCACTCAACTATGAAAACAACTTATTGTTATTCTTCACCAAACGCTTTATAATGTCAAATAAGCCAAAATATATAGAAATGGAAATAACATTAACTATTAATTTTTTAACTTTTTTCTATCCATCCTCTTAATAGAAAATATATATTGTTATGGGAAAGGTTCTTATGATGAAATGTTCAGAGAATATGCCCACAGATTATTGTTTATTTTTAATGGGTCAATTAGAGTAATTCTTATATTCATTTTTAATAAGATTCTTTGGTTCGTTAGTTCCTGTATAAAGACAAAAAATAAAACAATTCAATTGATATTTAACCTAACCTTTTTCTATGTATAAAAAAGTGTTTTAATCTTATTTTGCAAAAGTTGTTAGTTGAACTTTATACTTTGTATACAATAATGTAATGTATGTATGAGGTCGTTATTTGGCTTTATGTAAATGCATACACGTGTTCGATATGAAAATGTGCTTATTTATTTATTTATTTATAATGTATATAGAGATTTTAATATATCATGGTAATGCATGCATTGCATAGTAATTTTGAATAACATTTCCAATATAAATAGCTAACAATATTTCATCCATGGTTTTATCAAATCTCTCTTGATTATTATCAAGGTTATTTATGATCAAACATATCTTTTATATAGACACTATCTTTTCTTTCTCATATATCATTATAAAAGCTAATATCGTGTATCAAAGTTTTTAGCATAAATTCTTTGACATTAATTGTTTTCAGATTAATTGCAGGTTGATATTGTGTAAAGATGAACACGGAACGTGGCATGAATAAAAGGGTTCTCTTGTTGTGGTGGTATATAATGGTTTTTGAGCTCTGTTTCATTCTTGGTGCATATTCTGAGAATTTTTCATTCAGGTTCTCCCTATAATTCATTTTTAAATTACTATTTACATTTACTATATTTAATATATACTAGATTATTTATTTTTTTACTCTTTTTTCTTGTATTGCTTCCACTTGCAGTCGAAACTTGAGTATATTCGACAACGTGGAATCATCGAGTGCTAATCCTCCGGTCACTCTTAATAATCGAAATTCTGCACAGGTTTTTGATGCGGAAATGCTATATGTTATATTGAGGCCACAAATACGATTTTGATTGCAATTTAATATTTGAATAGATGATAATATTATTTACAAAGAGATGATAATATAATGAAGAAAGAAAAAAAATTGTTTTCCTGATTTTTTTTCCTTTGATTTTCAGGTGGTGATTAGCAATGGAATAATTTCCCTCACTTTGTCCAACCCTAGAGGGTATGTCAAAGGATTATCATATGCAGGAATAGACAATGTACTTGATTCAAAAAATGAAGAAAATGATAGAGGGTACTTATTTCATATTAAACTAATTAAGTTTATTAATTTAAGGAGTTTCTGAAAGCTTTTATTCAGTTATATATATGACATAACTAGGATTTAATATCATATATAACAGGTACTTGGACATTTCTTCTGGCAAATTAACTCAAAGGTATAATAATTTTATATATATATATATATATATATATATATATATATATATATATATATATATATATATATATATATATATATATATATATATATATATATATATATATATATATATATATATATATATATATATATATATATATATATATATATATATATATATATATATATATATATATATATATATATATATATATATATATATATATAATTTAATGTATATTGTTATGTTATGTTAATAACAAACACATCGTTATAATTGAAAATTTCATTGCAGAGTTCATGGGACAAATTTCTCAGTCATAACAAACAAGAAAAATATAGTTGAGGTTTCATTTTTAAGGACATGGAGATCTTCCATGGATGCCTCAAATGTACCTATAAACATGGACCAAAGGTGAATTCCTACTCTCAATCATTTCACATAGCTTTTGAAATAAAAGTTTTATTTTCTTTTGATTATTAATATATTTCTTGTAATAATTTAATATTACAGGTATATAATGCGAAGTGGTGATTCGGGGTTTTATTCTTATGTGATATTTGAACGGCCAAAAGGATTCCCTGCCATTACAATTGACCAAATAAGGATTGTATATAAGCTAAATGAAGCCAGGTAATTAAACTATCTACAATGGTTTTAAATTGCAGTCCGCAACGTAATATTGCAGATGTATTAGTTTTTGTAACCGCATCGGACAGTAATTTAAAATTAATGAAGCTGCATTAGGAGTTGAATGTTATTTTCCATGAAACTCAAAATTTCAGAACTTTAAAACTCAATTTACTCAATTTTAATGAAATTTTTTAATATGAAGTGTTTTTCAACTGTTCATTTCAAACACATTTCAATAAAAATTCACTCTGCAACAAACACAATGTGCAATTACACAGCAACCATAATGATGCAACCGCAATTTAAAATCATACTACCTACATATATACTTACATTTTTTTATCAAGTTACATTTTGAAATTAAAAAGTAAAACAACATATGCATGACTAATGAAGAAACTTCACATGCAGATTCAACTATATGGCCATATCAGATACTAGACAAAGAAAAATGCCATCTGTGAGAGATAGAGAAACAGGACAAAAATTAGCATATCCTGAAGCTGTTTGGTTAAAAAATCCCTCTAATCCAGAATTTAAAGGAGAGGTATCTCTCTTTCTTCTATGCATTTACATGGTTTTCTTTTAGTTGTTTACACATTATGTCTACATTTCTAATATAATTTTGTTTGTATTTGTGTTGAACTCAGGTGGATGATAAATACCAATACTCAAGTGAAAATCAATACAACCAAGTTAATGGATGGATTACCGCAGATTCTGAAAAGCCCGTGGGCTTTTGGATCATAACACCAAGCAACGAGTTCCGCAATGGTGGGCCTGTTAAACAAGACCTCACATCTCATGTTGGCCCAACTTGCCTCTCTGTAAGTTCAACAAAAACCCACCAATCACTCAAATATGTTAGAATTTTCCAAAAATATTTATAATTCTTCCATTTGTTTATTTATATTTTTCTATGTAGATGTTTGTGAGCAACCACTATGGTGGTAATCAGGTAGAAATAGAATTCAAAGAAGGAGAGACTTATAAAAAGGTTTTTGGACCTATTTTTGTTTACTTGAATTCTGCTTCAAGTAATAATCAATTCAAATCTCTATGGTCAGATGCTAAACAAAAGGTCTATATTTTCATTATAATCATACACAATTTATTTATTTTAAATTACACGTTTCGTAATGACACATTATTATTTGATTAATCAGTTATTGAATGAAGTCAAGAATTGGCCTTATGATTTTCCTCAATCAAAAGATTTTGTTCCACCCAACCAAAGAGGAACACTACAAGGAAATTTAAAAGTCCAAGACAGGTAAAGTGAATAATCTCGTGTTTAAATAACATAATTCTATTGAAAATAAATCTTTCAGATTATTTACTTTTTTTTCTCAAAAGTAAATTAATCGAGCTGAATTTGATGCATTAAGATATTTATTAGGAGGAATGGATCTCAAAATGCTAAAAATGCTTACGTTGGGCTAGCTCTGCCTGGGCCTGCAGGATCATGGCAGATAGAAGGCAAGGTACATTTTAAAATATCTCTGTAATTCGGCAAAATACACATTGTTTATTAGATTTTACACTGACGGCGCATATATGCAACTAAAAATAATTTGAATTACGTTAAAATTTTACAGGGATATCAATTTTGGACTCGATCAGACCGAAATGGAAACTTTATTATAAAGAACATTGTACCTGGTGTATACAACTTGTTTGCATGGGTTCCTGGTTTCATTGGAGATTATAAATATAATGGTGATATTACAATTAAACCAGGTAAATTATAAAAGTTAATTTCAAACAATAAAAATAAATTTGAAATATAAATAAAAGTTCAAACTTAATAATAACTAAAAATTTATTTCATTATACAATGATTTTGTAATAAAGTATATACTTGTAGGATCTACCATCAAATTGAATTCACTTGTATATAATCCTCCGAGAAATGGCCCTACTCTATGGGAAATCGGCATTCCCGATCGATCGGCCGCTGAATTTTTCGTACCAAACCCTTACCCTAATCTCATCAACAAATTGTATATTAATGACCCAATAAACAAGTAAGTCTATAACCAATTATTAGATAATTTATTCTATCTTAAATTATTTATGTCGTTTTTATAAGAACCTTTTCGACCGTGCATATGAAAAACAACGGAGATAGTATGAATCTTAAGTTAAATGTCACTTTCCACTTAAGCAAAGTATTTATTCTATGACAGATTTAGAAATTATGGATTATGGACTCGTTACACCGATTTATATCCAAAACGAGATCTTGTTTATAAAGTTGGCGTTAGTAAATATCAAAACGATTGGTTTTTCGCTCATGTTCCAAGGTAAATTAGTTTTGTTTATTTATCGTAATCATATTATTTTCTAGGCTTTACTCTAATTTTTACTGATATATATACAGAATCATGCGAAATAATACTTATCAAGCAACCACATGGAGCGTTATATTTGAACTTAGTAATGTATTTAATGGAAACTACACATTACAACTGGCAGTAGCAAGTGCCTCTTATGCTGAAGTTCAGGTACACTCATTTATTTTTAGTTTTTTAGATAATTAAATATCTTAACTAATAAGTTAATAATTAATCTTTTGGTTAATGTTACTATTAATTAGTATATATATATACTTTCATTTTTTTTTGGATGATGGGTGAATAGGTTTGGTTCAATAAAATGAGTGATGATCCTCCTTACTTCACAACAAAGCGAATAGGAGATGACAACGTTATACCAAGACATGGAATCCATGGATTATATTGGTTATTTAGTATACAATTACCAAGTGTTCATTTGGTGAAAGGAGATAACACATTATATTTGAGACAATCAAGATATGGATCACTTTTTAAAGGAGTTTTATATGATTATATCCGTTTAGAAAGTCCTCCAACTACCAAGTTGAATGTGTGATTTTTTTATTAGAGGAAGATATGCTTTTAGATTCTTAAAGAAGTTGCTAGAAAGCAATAGTTTAAGAAAATAATAAACCTAGTTTGTATTGTGCTTATGTTTAGTTATGTTGTTATCAATAGTAGGTTCAATTTTTAATGCAATATGAAAGAGATTTAAAAGACATAGTTTTTTTATTATTATCAAACATCTTTATTTATCTAATAGTTTAGATAAATAGTTGGATATCGCAAATTTGAATCAGTACCATGCAATCAGATATCATTGCATAGCTACCAATTGAGCTGGTTACAAAATGTTTGGTTTTCAAGAGCTAGCCTTCAAAGTGTTTCCAATATCAATTACAAATCGATATTTCACATCAGCTTTGAGTAGTCTCTCCATTGCAGTGTTAACATAATCTACTGGAATAATCTCAATATCAGGTTTCACATCATGTTTAGCAGCAAAATCAATCATTTCTTGAGTCTCCTTTATCCCTCCAATCATACTCCCACCAATTATCTTTCTCCCTATCAAAAAATTTGAAATATAAATTAAAAAACTTTGTAATTAATCATATTCTAAAATGAAATAAACTATATATTAATTTATTTGTTGTATGCTTTTTACCTGTAATTAAAGAAAATGCAGGAAGCTCTAATGGCTTGTCTGGAGCTCCAACCATAACAAGTTTACCATGGTTTTTCAATAAACCAAGCAAGGGAGTTAGTGGATGCAGTGCTGAAACAGTGTCAATGATACCATCAAAGGTTCCCATTACAGCCTATAACATATTGAACAACATTAGCAAGTGTCATAAAATGGTCTCGCTCCGACGTGTGTCTGACACCGCGAGACTCCTATTTTTAAAGGTGTTTGTGCTTTATAGGTTAAAATTGAATTATTATTTATACGCACCTGCATTTGATCTTGTTCGCGACTAACCACAAATGAGTCAGCTTTTAAATGTTCAATTGCTTCCTTCTTTTTATTAGGAGAAGTGCTTATCACTGTTACATTAGCACCAAAAGCTTTGGCGAATTTCACAGCCATATGGCCTAATCCACCAAGACCAACGACACCCAAGTGTAAACCGGCCTTGTTGAGTTCAAAATACTTCAAAGGACTAAACACTGTGATCCCCGCGCAAAGGAGAGGAGCAGCGGCTTCAAGTGGCAAGGCATCAGGAATACGGATCACAAATTGTTCATCGGAAACCATGGTGTCGGAGTAGCCTCCATATGTGATTGTTCCATCAATATTCTTGGCACTATATGTGAGAATCATCTTTGAGCAGTAGTTCTCAAGATTATCAGCACAACTTTGACATGAGTGGCAAGATCCAACCATGCACCCTACACCTACCCTGTCTCCAACTTTGAAATTTTTTACCTTGCTTCCTACCTCTGTTACTTCACCAGCAACTTCGTGCCCTGGAACTATTGGATAAATAGAATTGCCCCATTCATTTTTCACCATGTGGAGATCCGAATGACATATACCACAATACAATACTTTGAATGCCACGTCATTTTCTCCGGTTTCCCTGAAAAAGAAATAAACAAGTCATGTTTTGTAGGGAAGTCAGCATGTGAATCTAACCAATGTATAAGAAGACAAAATAACAAGGTAAGAACCAACACAAACACATAGTAAATGCATGAATGTTAGACATGTATGAAGAACTCACACGAGAAACACATCGTCGACCCGGACACAACATCCCGTTAATAATTTGAAAACATAAATAAATTAAACCATAATCATAAGTGTCGATGTTTTAAACACGGATAAATACACAATTTTTTCCCGAGAGGGCGGTGTTATAACAATTATAAAGATGTTAAATGAATGAGTTTGGTTACCTTCTTGAGAACTTGAAAGGAGAGAGGACTCCAGATGAGTCTCTGGCTGCCCATCCGAAAGCCTTTTTGGGATGCTCTGCCTCAGGTTGTGAAGCCATATGGATCTCAATTGCAGAGAAGCAGAAACGATGTTGTTTTTTTCTCTATAAAAAACAAAAAGAGAAATTGTTTTCTTTTTTGCTATAAAAGGATATTGTTGATGTTATGGGAAGACCCAAAATCCACAAGTTATAATAAGAGTTTAAGTGGCAATGTTTTAGCCATATGTTCTAGTTGGATGGGTTAGTCGGTGACTTTTTCAATGGTTGGGCGAAATGCATGCGTGTCCATTACATCCCCACTCCTTACATCATGGTTTTTTGTTTGTTTGTTTAGAAACGCTGTAATTTTTATCAACTTTATATATATATATATATATATATATATATATATATATATATATATATATATATATATATATATATATATATATATATATATATATATATATATATATATATATATATAGTAAATATGCTTTAAAACCTTTGTTGATGAAAAGAAAGAAAACATATTTTATAGATTGTATTTACCGCAAAAAAAAATCAGAAGTTTTAGAAAGTCGAAAGAAAAAAACAATCGGTCGGTGAACAGTGTCTTCTGTACAGTGAATAGTATTGTCCGTACTATGAATAGTGTTTTTGAATTTTCAGACTTTTTTCAATTCGGTTCATGGATCCATGTGATTTTGGGCTTTGTTTGTTGGATATTTACTATTATAAATATGTATCTCTTATATGCATGGATCCATGTGAATAGTGTTGTCTGTACGATAAATAGTGTTGACCGTACTGTGAATAGTGTTTTCGAGTTTCCGGACTTTTTTCGATTCGGTCCATGGATCATGTGAGTTTGAGCTTTGTTTGTTGGGTATTTGCTATTATAAATATGTATCTCTTATATGTTTGGTGTGTGACAATCTTAGAGTTTTCACCAACAAGAAAGATCAAGGGTTTAAAGGTATAAGAGTTCTTACCAATAAGGAAGACCAAGAGTTTAAAAGTATAGCATAGGGTTTCAGCTAAGCACAAAGAAAACCTTGGATTACACCTTGAGTTTGAGTGATTCATATATTGAGAGTTTGAGAGGTAGGGAAACACTTGGGTAGAAAATAGGATTGTTCTTGGGTGCCTTCAGGGTTGTTTTTGGAAACTTGAAGGCGAAGGTTATTTTCTTGTAACTCATATGTAATCTCTTGTAACAACTTTCTGAGTATATTGAATTGGAGAGCTGCTCTCTCCCCCATAGTAGATCATTTAATCGAACTAGATAAACAAACCTTCGATTTTTTCTTGCCTTATTCTATTATATTATATATGTACATTATATTATTGCTAAAGACCGTTTATTTTTGTTACTATTTTTTTTTTGCCTCACAAATTGATATTGAATTTTGTCGTAATTCACAACAAGATTCACAACAAATGGTGTGGTGAGCGTGGAGCAAAGAGATATTGTTGACAAGTGAGCACCATGGTTTGTAGATGGCAGATCGAGAAATTTTCCGGTAACGACTTCCTGTTGTGGAAAATTAAGATGCAAGAAATTTTAATTCAAGAGAAGTGTATCGATGCTTTGAAAAGTCAAGAATTGATGCCTACAAGGCTTACGTAGGTACAGAAGACCGAGATGGTGGATAAGGCCAGGAGTGTCATTATCTTATGCCTCAGGGATAAAGTTCTAAGAGAAGTCGCCAGGGAGCAAACTACGGTTGCTATGTGGGAAAAACTTGAATCATTGTATATGACAAAGTCTTTGGCTCACAGGTTGTATCTGAAACAACAACTTTATTCATTCCGAATGGTGGAGAACAAATCCATAGTTGAGCAGCTCATAGAATTTCACAAGATTATCGATGATCTTAAGAATATTGAAGTGAAGATTAATGATGAGGACAAGGCTTTGTTCCTGTTGAGTTCATTACCCAGATCCTTTGAGCAGTTTATGGATGCCCTTCTTTATGGTAAGGAATGTACTATTACTTTGGATGAAGTCTAGATGACGGTGAAATCCAAAAAAATTTCAAAGTTGAAAGATTTAAAGATTGAAGATATTGGTGAAGGCTTAAATTTGTCAAGAGGAAGATGTGAGCGTAAAAGGATGTCCAAATCAAAGAGGTCTGACAAGTCAAAGGTAAAATGTTTTAATTGTTAGAAAATCGATCACTTTAAAAGGGATTGTCCTAAAAGAAAGGTCAATGAAGATTCTGTTCAAATTGTAGTTGCATTGGATGAGGAAAGTTATGAGGATGCCAAAACACTAGTAGTATCGAGTTTGGAAACTGAAGATAGTTGGGGCATTGACTCAGGTTGCTCTTATCACATGTATCCAAGAATAGAATACTTTGAAACTTTGAAGATGATGCAAGGTGGAGTAGTTCACCTTGGTAATAATAAGGCATGCAAGGCTCATGGTATTGGTACGGCCAGATTTAAAATTTTTAATGATCGCGAACTTCTTATTCACAATGTGAGGTATGTTCTAGAACTCAAGAGAAATTTGTTATCTATAAGTATGTTTGATTATCTAGGCTATTGTACTAAAGTTAAAGATTTCGCGTGATGAATTGATTATTGCTAAAGGGTCTAAAATATGTGGTATATATATTTTAGAAGGTTCAAATGTTATTATTCATTCATCGTTAACTAGTGGAGGCTTTCATGACAAGGAAGAGCTATGAGATTTGAGTTTAAGACGTTATGAATACTTTGAGAAAGTTTCAGAGGAGTACAATAAATTTTGCAGAAATCAAGGGATAAAAATGCATGTTACCGTTGATCTGTTATTGAGTTTTTGGGGAAGAGCTGAGGTTAAAACAACTTACTTAGTTGGTAGAGAATTTCTTCAGAAGAAGAATAGTGAAAACCAAGGGAGAAACTATAACGAAGAAAACTCAATTTGAGGTGGAGTTTCCTACTATGGATGCTAGCAGTAGTGAGGAAACGATTACAGAGATCTTGATTATCATTTGACTCATGATAAGGTAAGGAGGATTATTGTAGCATCTCAAATGGACGGTTATGCTAGCCTTGGATATTATGTTTTTAATGTGGCTAAAGGAGTGCAAAATAAAAGAAGAAAAAACCTTCAAGGACACATTTGAAAACAGGTGGAGTCAAGGGTGGTTGAAAAATTATACGTGTAGGCTTGTTAAATTACCTAGGCAGAAAAGGGTAATTGGGAACAAGTGGATGCAAGTTGTGAGATCAAGATTCAAGGGTTGCTTGAATTTGATCAAAGTTATTGATTAAAGTTTTAACTTGGTAGAGAGCAGCAATGTTGTTGATTGGTATCAACACGGTTTAATGTCAAGGTGGAGATTGTTGTAAATATACCTTAAAACCTTTGTTGATGAAGAGAAAGAAAACATATATTTGGAGATTGCATTTACCGCAAAAAAACTGAAGTTTTAGAAAGTCGGACAAAAAGTCGAAAGAAAAAAATCGATTGGTGAATAGTGTCGTCTGTGCGGTGAGTAATGTTGTTCGTACGATGAATAATATTTTTTAGTTTTCGAGCTTTTTTTCGATTCAGTCCATGGATTCATGTGATTTTGGGTTTTGTTTATTGGGTATTTTCTATTATAAATATGTATCTCTTATATGCTTGGTGTGTGACAATCTTAGAGTTTTCACCAACAAGGGAGACCAAGGGTTTAAAGGTATAACATAGTGTTTCAGCTATGCACAAAGAAAACCTTGGATTGCACCTTGGGTTTGAGTGATTCATATATTGAGAGTTGGAGAGGTAGGGAAACACTTAGGTAGAAAATAGGATTGTTCTTGGGTGCCTTCAGGGTTTTTCTTGGGAACCTGAAGGCAAAGGCTATTTTCTTGTAACTCATTCGTAATCTCTTGTAACAACTTTCTGAATATAGTGAGTTGGAGAACTGCTCTCTCCCCCAAAGTTAACCGTTTGATCGAACTGGATAAACAAACCTTCGGTTTTTTCTTGCCTTATTCTGTTATATTATCTATGTACGGCTAAAGACCATTTATTTTGGTTGCTATTGTTCTTTGCCTCACAAATTGATATTGAATTTTATCGTGATTCACTACATGATTCACAACACACACACACACACACACACACACACACACACACACACACACACACACACACACACACACACACACACACACACACACACACACATATATATATATGAAAAAGAAAAAAAAAAGACTGGAAATTATCTTTAAAAATAAAGTCTCGTTAGCATCAACTAGCATGAAAGTGATGACTTTAACAAGAGGTTTTGCAGGAGATCAGTCTATTGCATCATTACTAACCTCAAGTTCTATTTATTTGTTAGCACAAACATTCCTTTCACTAAGAGTATGAAATATTTGACCTCGCCATTCTCTAAAGAAAAACTCTTTAATGTTGTGAAGAATTGTGACATAGTGAAGTCAAATATTAACAAACTTTGAGATAAGCTTAATAACAGATTTTGAGTCTGAATAACACATCAGGTCTTTGATGCCAAGTTTTCAGACCATGCACAAACCATAATGCAATGCTATTAGGTCATCATGAAGGATGTTTAAATAATCAATACTACCCACGAAACGGTGAACCCAAGCACCATCACTATTTCGAATAATTCCGCCACAATCTGAGACGCCGGGATTACTGAGGCTACTACCATCAACATTCAAAATTATATTATTACATTTGTGTGCATTCCACGTGATCATTTTCGTTGTATGAAATGGATTATGCTTGAGAACATATTTAACTAACATATTAGCATAATTCACTGTTATGAGTTTCAAAGTATAGGAAGCACATCACAACCACCCACAAGCGGCCAAAAAGATAGAGTTGTTGGAAATTCAACCACAACCTATGGAGAATTTCACTCAATAAATATTAATCTCAATATTGTTTCAACCCACGTAATGACAATGAAAGAAAGGTTTAGAAAGAAAGAAAGAAAGTAAACATTGGAAAAGAAGAAGATGAACAATTTTCTGCAGAGAACTCTCTGCCCACAAACTGTGGAAATTCTGTTATTTCACTTGCAACTGCAAATTATGAATTACAAAATATAATG